GCTTCAAGGGCAGAAAAGAGCACACTCTGGATCAGTGATGCAAAAACACTGCGCGGTGAGGGTGCGAATTTCTTCCGGACAGAGTGAAGGGAGAGAGGAGAGTCGTATTCATAATGTGTACTTGCCAGGGTGTTATTGTAAGAGGGAGGGAGGGGGGGGACAAGCTAGGTGCACTCGCGACATATCTGACATCCTACCCCTCCCACCTGTCACTTTCCAGTGCGCGGACTTTTCTATATCCGCCGACGGTTGTCATAGTGGTCCTGACACCCACTCAACTTAACCCCATCGTGACATGCGCAAGCAAGCAGAAAGGGGAGCTTCGTCATTCGAGGGGGTGGAACGGGACGAGGAGGCAATACGGGCCAGCATCTGATCGGGCAGTCGGAACGACATGGAACTCCAATCGAATCTTCTGGATTCGGGGCCCAATTCGGCGATCGCCGCATCGGCTCGGAAATCGGACACCGGATCGGAATCGCATGGGAACTCTTGTTGTTGAGCCAGATCGGAATCGAACCAGTTCCTTTAGCCAGCATGAGCTGCGCGGGCAAACGATGATGACGATCACGACGGCGAGTCCACAGCGAGTGCGGCGACTACGACGAGTGCGACGGCGAGCGCGGCAAGTGTGATGGCGAGCGCGGCAAGTGCGACGAGTGCGACGGCAACTCCCCTCAGCCCCTCCTCGGGCCCATCAGCCCGCCCCTCAGCGCCCCCCCCCCCCTCAGCTCCTTCTGCCCCCCCCCTCAGCCCCCCATTCGGCCCCTCTTTAGCCCCCCCAGAGGCCCACCCTCAGCTCCTCCTCGGCCCCCCCTTCAGCTCCTCCCCTCGGCCCCCCTTCAGCCTCCGCCTCGGCACCCCCTTAGCCTCCTCTCAGCCCCCCTCGGCCCACCCTCAGCGCCCCCTCAGCCCCACCCTCCCCCCTCCCCACCCTCAGCCACCCCCTCAGCCCCCCCTCAGCCCTCCTTGAGCTTCCCCTCCCCACCCTCAGCTCCTCCTCGGCCCCCCCCTCAGCTCCTCCCCTCAGCTCCTCCCTGCAGTTTCCCCGTCAGCCCCCCCCCCTCCCCCTCCCCTTCAGCCTCCCCCCTCCTCAGCCCACCCCTCAGCCCCGCTTCAGCTCCCCCTCAGCCCCCCCCCATCAGCCCCCCTTCGGCCCCCGCCTCGGCCTCTCAGCCCACCCTTCGCCCCCCCCCCCCTCGGTCTCCTCTCAGCCCTCCCTCAACCACCCTTCAGCCTATCCTCAGCCCTTCTCACCTCCTCTTAGCCCCCACTCAGCCCGCCCTCGCCCCCACCCCTCGGCACCCCCCTCAGCCCCCCTCTCGGGCTTGCGGCCCGTCGTCATCGCCGCCACCGCTACCGTCCTCCTCGTCGTCCCCCTCCACCTGCATTTTCCTCCTCCAACTCCAGATGACGACGACGACGACGATGATGATGACGACGGACGACGGAGGCGACGACGACATCGACGACGACGACGACGACAGCGACGGCGACGGCGACGGCGACGACGACGGAGGACGACGGAGGACGACGGACGACGGACGACGACGACGACCGACGACGACGACCGACGACGAAGAACGACGACGTCGACGACGACGGACGACGACGGACGACGGACGACGACGACGACGACGACGACGACGACGACGACGACGGCGGCGACGGCGACGAAAACGACGACGGAGGATGACGAACGACGGACGACGGACGAAGGACGACCGAAGGGACGGATGGAGGGGCGGAGAAGGAGGGAGGGAGGTGTCTCCTCAAAAAGAGGCAGGATCGGAATCTAGTATATTCGATTGGCTGTGCTCGGACTACTTCGAAGCGGTCCCCAGCACGATGAGCAAGATCGGAACACCAATCGGACACACACACACACTTCGAAACTGTCCCCGAGCGGTCGAACAAGCCAGATCGTAAAGCATCGGATCGGCAGGATGAGCCATGCCGATCGGGTTATGTCGGGCATGTCCCCCTACAGGCGGATTTTGGGCGACAAATCATACCCCAAACACATTCGAACATAAGCAAACATTGCCCTGTGACGTACCCAAGCCATTTGTATCAATCGAAACGAGGAGTTGGCCGAAACTTGTATGGACGATCAACTTGATGTGTAAGCTACTTGGGAGGCGTCACTGTGCTGGGCCCCGCAAGCAGGCATCGAACGTGGCGACAGTTTCACAGATCGCAGCCCCCCAGGGCTGGCGAGGTCTAATGTGAATCTGCGTGTGGCGTCACTGTGCTGGGCCCCCCAGCAGGCCTCGAACGTGGCGACAGTTTCACAGATCGCAGCCCCCCAGGGATGGCGAGGTCTAATTTGAATCTGCGTGTGGGTACCCACTGTGCTGGGCCCCTCAGCAGCCATCGAAAGTGGCGACAGTTTCACAGATCGCAGCCCCCCAGGGATGGCGAGGTCCAATTTGAGTCTGCAGTGAGTACCCACTGTGCTGGGCCCCCCAGCAGGCCTCGAACGTGGCGACAATTTCACAGATCGCAGCCACCCAGGGATGGCGAGGTCCAATTTGAGTCCGCGGTGAGTACCCACTGTGCTGTGCCCCTCAGCAGCCCTCGAAAGTGGCGACAGTTTCACAGATCACAGACCCCCCCAGGGATGGCGAGGTCGAATCTGAGTCTGCGGTGAGTACCCACTGTGCTAGGCCCCTCAGCAGCCCTCGAAAGTGGCGACCGTTTCACAGATCGCAGCCCCCCAAGGATGGCGAGGTCTAATTTGAGTCTGCGGTGAGTACCCACTGTGCTGGGCCCCTCAGCAGCCCTCGAAAGTGGCGACAGTTTCACAGATCGCAGCCCCCCAGGGATGGCGAGGTCCCATTTGAGTCTGCGGTGAGTACCCACTGTGCTGGGCCCCTCAGCAGGCCTCGAAAGTGGCGACAGTTTCACAGATCGCAGCCCCCCAGGGATGGCGAGGTCCCATTTGAGTCTGCGGTGAGTACCCACTGTGCTGGGCCCCCAGCAGGCATCGAAAGTGGCGACAGTTTCACAGATCGCAGCCCCCCAGGGATGGCGAGGTCCCATTTGAGTCTGCGGTGAGTACCCACTGTGCTGGGCCCCCCAGCAGCCCTCGAAAGTGGCGACAGTTTCACAGATCGCAGCCCCCCAGGGATGGCGAGGTCCCATTTGAGTCTGCGGTGAATACCCACTGTGCTGGGCCCCCCAGCAGGCCTCGAAAGTGGCGACAGTTTCACAGATCGCAGCCCCCAGGGATGGCGAGGTCCCATTTGAGTCTGCGGTGAGTACCCACTGTGCTGGGCCCCCCAGCAGGCCTCGAAAGTGGCGACAGTTTCACAGATCGCAGCCCCCCAGGGATGGCGAGGTCTAATTTGAGTCTGCGGTGAGTACCCACTGTGCTGGGCCCCCCAGCAGGCCTCGAAAGTGGCGACAGTTTCACAGATCGCAGCCCCCCAGGGATGGCGAGGTCTAATTTGAATCCGCCGTGTGGCCCACTGTGCTGGGCCCCCCAGCAGGCCTCGAAAGTGGCGACAGTTTCACAGATCGCAGCCCCCCAGCTGGCACGCAGCGACGAGCGAGGCAAAAGGCAAGGGGGAAGAGAGGGGCGGGATGGAAGGAAGGAGACGCGCGAGCAGTGCTCTAGTCAAAACGAGAACCCAACGCAGGAGGGTTGGGAATAATCAAGCCATATTCTCCTGACGGTGTTTTGACTATGTTTGAATATCCCCCTGTAGAGGGACATGCCCGACTTAACGATAGGTGGCAAATGCGATCTGATCGGAGTCGAGCGGGATCGATTGAACATCGAAACGGGTCCTGGGAGGCGGGCGCGCAGGAGGAAGAACAGGATGATGAACACGTGTCTGAGCAGGAGGAGGAATGAGGAGGAGGGAGGAGGAGGAAGGAGGAGGTGGAACAGGAGGAGGAGCAGGAAGGAGGAGGAAGGAGGAGGAAGGAGGAACAGCGGCGACATGATGAGCAGGAGAAGGAGGGCTGGGAGGAGTCAGAGGACCAGGTGAAGGTGGGGGCGGGGAAAGGGGAACGACAACGACGAGGACTGACTCCGATACATCATGTGGCCAGCGCTTGGGCGAGAGGACAAGTCTGAAGCGACGGGTGCAGAGCATCGATCAAAAAGCCAAAGACGTTCGGATCAAATCAACTACATGACCTATCATATTTCGAAAGCCTTATGCGATTAACACGCAGCATGCGAGTGGCAACAACGCCTCTCCTCAAGGGCAGAAGTGAGCACTGTAAGGCATTCCCCCGCCAGTCGTGAACCTTACGCGCGCGCGTCATGCGGTACTCCTCCACAGCGCCGCCATCGCCTCACAAATCGGCACGTCGACTGACCAAAGGAACCCAGGGACGGAAAGGTCGCGGCCGCGGGCGGGAGAGCGGCGCCGTGCTCGGAGCTCGGAAAGAAGGGAGGAGCGGCTGGGCAAGGCAGTCGGGGACGGGCGAGGTGGAGAGTGAGGGGGATCGAAACTTGTGCTCGGGGGCCAAGCTCCCGTCGCATGCTGTGCCGCTCACTCCCGCCTCTGCTCCTCCGAGCTTCGAGCTAGTCGCTTCCGTCTCTCGACCGGCGCCTTCGAACACAGGGCGCTTGGGAACTGCACCCCTCTGGAGGGAGATGCGGCCTCGAGGACCACCTGGCAACCCCCGAGCAGGGACGGCGAGCCGCCGGCGTGCGCCGTGGGGCCACACCTGCCGCGATCGACGGGTGAGCCCCTCCCCGAAAAACGCACCCTCACACGTCCCACCTCTGTCCTCCTCCTGAGCGGCCTTCGCCTCCTCCTCCTTCTCCTCCGCCTCCTCCTTCTCCTCCTCCTCCTCCTCCTCCTCCTCCTTCTCCTCCTTCTCCTCCTCCTGCTCCTCCTCCTCCTCCTCCTCCTCCTCCTCCTCCTCCTCCGCTCTCCTCCGCTCTCCTCCGCCTCCTCCGCCTCCTCCTCGGCTCTTCCTCCCCAAGGCGCTCCGGGCGCCGCCGCCCGCGCCGAGTGCGGGGCGCCGCGCGGGGCCTCGTCCATGAACCGCCTGCCCAGCCCCTGGCCTCAGAGGAGCGCCCTCCGATCCTGACGAGCCGACCCCGGCCCCGATCTCGATCCCTCTCCCCCAGTTCCCCTGACGTCCCTCGGCGGCGCACACAATCAAAAATGGGTCTTGCGCGAGATGGCACAGCGACCTCGCGCCGCGGCTCACGCGAGCCGCTGGCGCGGCACGCTGCATTGGAGACGAGGGCGCTTACGCGCGACCTTACGCGGGCAGCTTACGCGCCAATGTCGGCGAGGACGACCCCGTTTCTGTGCGTCGCTCCTATGTGGGGAAACCGACATGTACCGATACCGCTACTCTCCAGACCTCTCCTGGGGCGCGTTCTGACCAGGAATTCGATGCGAATGCAGCGGTGGTGTCCAGGGCCGCCCGGGAGGCCCAAAAAGGGGAAGACGAGGGAAGGGTAGAGGTATGGGTGCCTTTTCTTTTTTTCCTCCTCTGAATCTGGGTCGGGTGGCGGGGCGGGGCGGGCCTCCTCGCCGAGAGGGCGTGCGCCTCCCTCGCCCTCCGAGCAGGGCGGGTCCGCGCCTCCCTGGAAGGCCCCGCGGGGGCGTCCGAGAGGAAGGCTCCCCACTGGACGGCGGGAGAGGGCCTCCGAGAGAGGCCGCGCCCTGCCGCCCCCCCTCGGAGGGCCGCACCCCTCGTGCGCCGCGCCGCATGAGGAGGAGGAGGAGGAGGAGGAGGAGGAGGAGGAGGAGGAGGAGGAGGAGGAGGAGGAGTAGGAGGAGGAGGAGGAGGAGGGAGGAGGAGGAGGCGAGGGGGGCGGAGGAGAGCGGGAGGAGGATGGATGGATGGATGGTATGGATGGATGGGATGGATGGATGGATGGATGGATGGATGGATGAGGGGGAGGGAGGGAGGGAGTGGAGGGAGGGAGGGAGGGGAGGAGGGAGTAGGAGGAGTAGGAGTAGGGAAGGAGGAGGGGAGGAGGAGGAGGAGGAGGAGAAGGAGGAGGAGGAGGAGGAGGAGGAGGAGGAGGAGGATGCTGATGCTGATGCGGATGGTGATGGTGATGGTGATGAAGGTGATGATGATGATGATGCTGATGATGATGATGCTGATGATGATGATGATGATGATGATGATGATGATGATGATGATGGTGGTGATGTTGGTGATGTTGATGCTGATGCTGACGCTGATGATGATGCTGATTATCATCATCATGATGATCATGATGATCATGATGACGATGCTGATGCTGATGCTGATGATGATGGCGACGATGATGATGATGATGATGATGATGATGATGATGATGATGATGATGATGATGATGATGATGATGATGATGATGATGATGATGATGATGATGATGCTGGAGGAGGAGGAGGAGGAGGAGGCGAGGAGGAGTGAGGAGGAGGAGGAGGAGGAGGAGGAGGAGGAGGAGGAGGAGGAGGAGAGGAGGAGGAGGAGGAGGAGGAGGAGGAGGAGGGCGGAGGAGAGCGGAGGAGGGAGGGAGGGAGGGAGGGAGGGAGGGAGGGAGGGAGGAGGGAGGAGGAGGAGGAGGAGGAGGAGGAGGGAGGAGCAGGAGGAGGGAGGAGGAGGAGGAGGAGGAGGAGGAGGAGGAGGAGGAGGAGGAGGAGGAGGAGGAGGAGGAGGAGGAGGAGGAGGACGGGTCGCCTAAGCCCTTCGGAGAAATCCTCCAAGCGCGCCGTGGCAGAGCCGCGTACAGGGAGCCCTTCGGGCAGCCTCGGGCCCCAGGGGGCCCCCCCTCGGCTCGATCGGGCTCGGCAGGCCCCGCGCAAGAGACCGTCTTCGTTGAATCGGCGATAACCTGGGTTATCTGGAGGGGTGAAGGAGGGGGCCGGCCGATAACCTAACCTTCGCGCTGTGGGCAGCCCTGCATCTGCCCGCGCCCCCCCACCCCACCCCGGACCTGCACAACCGGCGAGGTTAGGTTATCCTGGGAGCGGGGGTGGGAGGGGGGCAAGCCCGATAACCCGGGTTATCGCCGGACCCTAAACAAACAGTCTCCAAGGAGGCGGGACTCGCGAGGGCCCCGCCTCTGCGCGGGGTGTTCCCTTCCGCCCTCCCTCCCGAGAGCCCCCCCCCCCCCCCCCCTGTGGCCCTCGCGGGGTCCGGGCCCCCCGAGCCCGCGGCCACGAAGCTCGGGGGCCACGGCCAGCTTGGCGATGGAGAGGGTGCCGTTGGCCACCTTGGTGACGATGAAGCCGTAGAGGCTGGCTGCCACGGGGGCCCGCTCTCTCGGCTGTGCGCTCGCCGCCCCGTAGTCGCCGCCGCCGCCTCCTGCTGCCGCCGCTGCCCCTCCTGATGCCGAGGAGGGGTGAGGGGGGAGGGAGGAGGGGGGAGGGGGGAGGGGGGGAAAATTGGAGGAGGGAGGAGGGAGGGAAGAGGGAGGAGGGAGGAGGGACGCACTGCGTCCACGACTGGCGCTGCCCGACCCCCGACCACCCGACCACCCGACCAATGCGCCCGACGGAAAGGCGAACCGTGCGCTGCCTGCTGCGACCTTCGGAATCACGGGAGAGACGGAGACGGGGAGGGGGGAGGGGCGACACGGGAGGACAAGCAGGCCGCCCGGATGGGCAAGCGACGAAACGAGGAGGGATCCTCCCGAGCCCCAGAACTCCCTGCTGAAGCGCTCCCTCAGGAGGGCAGGAGAGGAAGGGAAAGAAAGGGGAAAAGGCAATTGAGGGTCGCTCCCGCCATATCTTACATCCTATCTCTCCCACCCATCCTTTCCCATTGCGTCGATGTTTCTCCATCCGCGCCCGAGTGTCATAGTGGAACTGGAACTCCCTCAAAAGGTCCCGTCGTGATATGCGCTGTCGAAGACAGGGGAGCTAGGTACATAAGAGGAGGAGGAGGAGGACGAGGAGAAGGAGGAGGAAGAGGAGGAGGAGGAGGAGGAGGAGGAGGAGGAGGAGAAGGAGGAGGAGGAGTAGGAGGCGGAGGCGAAGGATGAGGAGGGAGAAGAAAGAGGAAGACATGAACAGCAGCCCCGAGAGCTGGAGCGGAGGGAGCGGGAGGAGTGACCCCGTCACGCAGGAGGGGCCGGACGGTCAAGAGCAGGGGACGAGAAGAGAGACCCGCCAAAGAGGTAAGGAGACATCCGCTGCCCCTCCAGGGGGCGGTGCTGACACGCGCGGCCCGGGGCCCAGCCATCCACGAAGTGGCGGCGCACGAGGCGCGCCCACCCCAGCGGAGCAGGCGCCACGCACCTGCAAGCTTGCAGGTGGAACTGCGCATTCGACACTCTACTATGACAAAGCGTCCTCCTCCTCCCCCTCCTCCTTCTCCTCCTCCTCCTCCTCCTCCTCCTCCTCCTTCTCCCCATTCCCTCCTCCCTCCTCCCTCCTCCCTCCTCCCCCCGCTGACCGCCCGCCCCCCCCTCCCTCCTGCAGCCCCCGAGAACGAGAGCGCCCCAGTGGCCGCGCTTCCCGGCCTGCAGGGCGCCGCTCGGCCTTCCCGAGGGGCAGGGGCCGCTCGGGCGCCCAGCCAGGCGCGCGCCGCTTCGGGCCCACCAGGCGCCCAGGCGCCCAGGCCGCCCAGGCCGCTTCGGGCCGCCCAGCCAGGCCCGCTCGGGCGCCCAGCCAGGCGGCTTGAGGGGGACGCGCGATATCACAAAGCCCGCGCGTCCGCCCAAGTGGCAAGGCGGAGCAATCCTGCCCCCCCCCCCGCCCCCCAACGGACAAAGACGTTCGTGCACGACACGGACCCGAGGGTCCCACGGAGGTCCCGACGCTCACGGACCAGGACACGAGCGTCAAGCAGGAAGCAGCACAGAAGGTGTGCCCACCAGAGGAGCGAACGCATGGCACCGGCGAGATTGCTGGTGTAATCGCGCATTCATGGCCAACGCTAAATTCGGACAAGATGGTGTGGAACACTTGACTCGCCATCGCTCGGACGTCCATTCCCTGTGCTTGTTTCGGTTTCACGCGTGGTTTTTCGCCAAATAATCAAGGATGCTCCTCGATTGTCCTCGCCGAAGGAAAAATGCACACGTCCGAGCGATGCCAAGTTGAGGTCGTGATAAGCAATCCAAATCACATCGATATACAAACTGGCAATAAGAAGAGTTCCGCACGGGAACGCCCGAGGCTCCCAGGAACGAATCCGGGAGGGGCCATCGCCCGAGCAGAGCGCGGCCGGCAGAAGCGGGAGGGCGAGGGGCAGGAGCGGAAACGCGGGGCAGTCGAGCATGTGGCGCACGTCGTCTCCTGGAGGAGCGTGGGGGAGCAGGAGGGCTGGGGGAATGCGGAGGAAGGCGACAAGCCGCGGCCTGTCGAAGCTCAGCCGACGGCGTCTTCCACTCTATTGTAGTGAGCACAGCGCGGACCAGCGCGGCGATGCAGGCCAGAGAGACGGAGACGACGCCGATGGCGCCGAACTCGGAGGCTCGAGCCATCCCACGAGAGGTGAAGGTTGACAGCGGCACGTGCCAGAGCTTGTTGATGATGCCGTATTCGGCCTGCACGAGCGCGCGCAGCGGGAGTCCGAATTGGGCGACGCACAACATGACAGGAACGGCCTTGGTGTTGTACTCCTTGACCGTGGTGATGGTGGAACCTTTGGTCTTGGCGTATGCGTCGGCTCGCTGCTGTTACTTTCTCGTCGGGGCCTTGCGCATCACGTCCGTGACGTTGAGGCCCATGAGATAATGTAGGTCGTAACCCTTACGATGGCTAACTGATTTCATACGGGGACGATCGCCTGCAGCCGGTCACGTATCGACTCACCCATCTGAATCGCGAACGAGGCGAAAAGACGAATACGAAGGCACTTTTGGGGTGTCAGCCCAAGGCCAGCGCAAGTTCGCATGTAGTTCAATTTGTTGGCGTACTCCCTGAACGTGCTGATGCCGAGGATCGCGGCTCCAACAGCGCAAACACGCATGGTGCCAAGCCCTTGGAGGTCCATGGTGCACAGTCGGCTCGTATCATAAGGATGCTCGATAAGGATGCAAGGACCTTGGAAGGCCATGTCGAAGCTTTCCGAGCGGAGCGCGGCCAACAAAAGTGGCCAAGGATGGACCGAGGAGGCAAGGATGCAAGGGCACCTTTGGGAAACTTGCCCATCCTTACCGTGTGGGTTGACTGTATCTCATCCTCTCCGCGAACGGGTGCGTCGACAAAGCAAACAACAAGTGGTGGTGATGATGATGACGACGACGATGACAAAAACGATGGCGATGACGATGGCGATGGCGATGACGATGATGTATGATGATGCTGAAGATGATGATGCTGCTGATGTTGATGCTGGTAATGATGATGCTGCTAACGATGATGATGATGATGATGATGATGATGATGATGATGATGATGATGATGATGATGATGATGATGATGATGATGATGATGATGATGATGATAACGATGATGATGATGATGATGATGCTGCTGCTGATGATGATGATGATGATGATGATGATGATGATGCTGATGATGATGATGTTGCTGATGACGGTGGTGATGATACTGTTGCTGATGCTGTTGCGGACGAGGCTGAGGATGCTCAGATTACGCTGATGGATGAGACGGCTAGGGAGGACGAGGGTGGAGTGGGAGGGAGGAGGAGGCGGAAGGATTCCAAGAGGGAGAATGATGACGAGGACGAGTAGGCAACAGCAACCAAGAGCGACCGACGGAGGTCGTAAGCGTCTACTTCTTGCGGAGGCCTTCGGCGGGGCACTCTGGGCTGGGGGGTCCTTCGGGCCTTCCAGGGCACCTCTCGTGTTAGATCGGGCATGCCCCCCTACAGCGGTGTTTTTGACGAAACATCAACAGTACTCAAACGAATACCAAAACATCTTCAGGAATACTCAGAAAATCGTCCCCAGAATATTTTCGACTACATTTGAACATTCGCCCTGTAGAGGGACGTGCCCGACTCAACTCTCGTGCGCTCTCGGGCGCTCCCTGGAGGTCTCACCCGAGTCTTAGGTCGGGCATGTCCCCCTACAGGCGGATTTTAGTAGGCGAAACGTTCAAAGAAGTCTAAAACGTATACAACAAATGTTCAACAATACTCAAAAAAAAATCCCCCGATTCTTATTTGACTATTTTTGAATTTTCCCCCCTGTAGAGGGACAGGCCCGACTTCACCCGAGCCTTCTGCAGATGTCCGGCGCGCACCCCTCCCTGGCGCCGCCTCTCCGCCTCCGCGCCCCGCCGCTGGCCCGCGAGGGCGCGGCGCTCGCTGCGCCAGGGGGCCCCATCTCCGTCGCCCTGCTCCCGCTCCTGGTACTGTCGGAGTGGATCGGAGAGGACACTGGGACGCACAAAGACATACTAAGTACTAGATGTCCGCCTTGGAGGCGCGCGTCCGACCCGAAAATATATAGTAGACCCATCTTGTAGTACATCGTTTCCCGCGGGGCGTGGCCAGAAAGCGCCCACCACGACGCATATACTTTAAGATTTCTCGGTGCGCGCGTCGCCCCTGGGGGGGCGACGCACATATAGTAGAAGTATGTTGGGGTGACGCCGGAGGACACGCGAGAGGACACAAGACACAAGACCCTTCCGATGACCGCATTGCCAGTGGAACGTAGAGGACATGGGTCGCGAAACGCAGGACACAAGGGTACCCTTGTTTGGGCAGGGTCGACCTCCTAATCAAACTCGACTGTAGCTGCTCCTTGTCGTCCTGCTGCTCCTGCTCCTCCGCAGGAGCGTCAGCGGTCTGCCTAGGTCGCTGGAAACCAGCATGGAGAGCTGCCACTTGGACTTCTTGGTTATGTCATGGAGGCAGTCCTCGCTGGCATTGGGGCCTTACCTCCCCTCCTCCTCCTCCTGCCCCTCCTCCTCCTGCATGTCCTCCTTCTCCTCGGCGTCTCTTCTTCCCACATCCCTCTCTTCTCTTCTCTCGTTCCTCCTATCCCCCTGCGTCCTCATTCCTCCTTCATCCTCCCTGGTTCTCCTCCTCCTCCTCTTCCTCCTCTTCCTCCTCCTCCTCCTCCTCCTCCTCCTCCTCCTCCTCCTCCTCCTCCTCCTCCTCCTCCTCCTCCCCTCCCTCCTCCCCTCCCTCCTCCTTCTCCTCCTCCTCAGCCGCCGTCCTGGCTGCGAGGTCCTTTTCAGCACACTAGGTGCTGCTGCAGGACCCCATCCATCGGGACAGCTACCATGCGCGCCGGCCGCTGCTTTCGCTCCTGGCATGCTCCGGCTGGCCGCGCTCACGAGGCAGATCCGGGACCCTCCCCGAGGCTCACACGCGCTGTTTTTCGGCGACTGGGCTATTGTGCGCGCGTGGGCCGTGCGCCTTGGAGCAAGGACGTCGCGTACTTGGCCAAGCACTGCGTGCATTCGGATGCCGACATCACTTTGGCCTCTGTCAATGCCCCAGCGGTTCCGCCTGGCATCTGGCAGCCACCAGATTTCGCGCCTGAGGCCCCTGCGATGCAGTTGGACACGCTGCTCACGGCACTCGGCGTCGTTGCGCCCGCTGTCGAAGCGGTCGTGCCCAAGGGGATGAACAAGCATGCAGGCCCTCCAGAAGCTGCTGGCAGCTTGTCTGGTGGAGCGGAGGTGGGCATGCGCCCTGCCGCAGCAGTCCCCACCTTGCCCGACATGCCGCAGCCGCCGCCGACAATTTCGTCACGATCTGGAGAGTGCCACAGGATCTGCCAGCCAAGGATGTCGGACATTCTCTCGCAGTGCGACCCCGACTCTTTGTTCAGGATCGACTCCTGGCTGACCAAGTATAAGGGTTCGGAGGACATACTCTATTTCAAGGTGTGCAAGAAGTACGGTGTCCAGCCGTCTCCTCTCTATGAGGGTCGCCCTCCTGATTAGATCTGTCTTGCCCTTAGTTCCGAGTGTTGCTGAGTGGCGTGTAGCGTTTGTGCAGGCTCTCTCGTCGTGGGGCGCCCCCATTCGCTCTCCCCGTGGGCTTTTTTGCTTGCGCCCCCCACCCGGCACCTCTCTTTCGTGTGTCTCATTTGGAGGCTCAGTCGGTGGTGGCGTAAGTGGTGGATCCTCGTGAGGTCCTATGCGCCACCCACCAGCTAGCCGCATTGCTCGAGCACGCAACCTTGCGAAGCCGCGCGTCGCATCATCACTCCTCCTCCTCCTCCTCCTTCTCCTCCTCATCCTTCTCCTCCTCCTTCTCTGTTCCCTGATCCTCCTGCAACTCCTCCTCCTCCGCCTCCTCCGCCTCCCCCTCCTTCTCTGATCTTTCGTTTAATCTGTGTGTATACGTACATTATAGATGTGTATATCTACAACATATATTGTTATGCACGTAGGGAGTCACACTCTGCCAGCTGGCCCCCCGATGGCTGGCCCACTCGGGGGGTCTTGCCTCACCCACGCGCAGCAGGATTGAGCCGACGTCTTTCCTTCCATCCTCAGTTCAACACTGACGTGTCGTGTCGTCGGCGCTGCAACATTCGCACAGCGGGCGGGACGCAGACCGCATACCCGTGCGCGCAAGGGCGACCTGCCGCCCTCGCCACGGCGCCGCGCTCGTTTGTCCTGAAGACTGTGCTCCCGCTCTTGGGCGCGGCGCGCACTCGTTGGTTCGCCAATGCGAGGCGGGACTTATCCCTATCCACCGCCTGGGAACCGAGGATATCTTTCGGCCCCCGGGGGTCCGAATATGTCCAGGTCCACCGCCTGCCGAGGCTCCGAAAACCGACCCTCCAGGCGGTGGTCATGTATACATTCCCGCCTCGGAGCCAACGCGTCCGAGCCAGGTCCGCGCCTGAGAGAGCGAGGCCATCCCCGCCCACGCGCCGCGCGATGCCTCACGAAAGTGGCGTTCCCCGTGGGCAACGAGGCGCATGCTGCTCGATCGCCCGTCGCAGGGGAAGCTGGGGCCGTGCACCAACTCGGGGGCGCGCAGGCACGGATTGGCGATCCATGGATCTGGCGCGCGGTCGCCAAATCCATGGCTAGGGGGAGGTGCCCTCCCCACAATGAGGCCCCTGCCGCCTCGCTCGGCGGCGAAAGCCCGCGATCTCCAATGGAGACGGGACCCGTCGCTAATCCACGCCCCCATTAATGCATGTTTGCGATCGCCTGACCAACGAGCGGCACGCTGCTGCCGCTCTCAGGCCCCGGGTCCCCCCCGCCAGCTGCGTCGCCGAGTGGGCGAGGGGCGCGCTTTGCCGTCCCGCGCCGCCGAAGCTGGGCCGCGCGCGCCTTCCGTTCGCTAGGTAGGGGCGCGCGCCTATCCAAATGCCCACTTGTGCCAACACGGGTTATCGTGCCATGGAAGGGTGGGTGGGGGTGGGCGTGGCTGCCTGCCTCGATCGACGAAGCTGGCAAACTTCACTCCTGTCCTTGCTCCGAATCGGTGTGGGCTCCTGCTCCGCCGCCTGGCTGGCCGATCGCAGTGGGGCATGGGACCACTGCACCTGACGCATCGGAAAACAGTGCCAGAGGTGGAGTTGTCTTCTCAGAATGGGCGCTCTGTCGTCGACGCTGCCGGCTGCGTGGCAGGGGTGGGGCGCGGCGCCCATCGCGCTCGAAAAGGCCAAATGCTGCTGTCGCCTCACCGCCGTGCGCAACTTACTGAAAGTTGCCATCCGCCTGGGCGCGGTGCGCATGTCTCGCTCGCCAGTGCGTCGGCCAAGAAGTAGCCACGTGCGAGCGGGTAAGATGTCACTTGTCGCCCAGGCGCAGCGCAGATTTCGCCCAAGCGTGGCGCTCCCGCCTGGGCGCGTCGCATAGTTTCGCTCTCCCAGTCGTCGGGCGCTGGGCCCCGTGCCAGCGGGCGATCTGTCGCTCTCGCCCACGCCGTCGTGCAGATTGGTTGCCTGAGCATGGCGTTCCCCTTCTGGGCGCGGCGCGCAGCATTCGCTCGCCAGTTCGTTGGAATCCAGAGGCGGGGGCACGCGGGAGAGGGCGACCTGCTGCCCTCGCCCAAGCGCAACGCTTCGCCTGAAAGTGGAGCTCCCGCCCTGGTGCGGCAGGCGCATGCTGCCTTCACATTTCTTATCGGGAACTCGGGCCGCGCGCGAGCAGGCCGCATGGTGCTCTTCCCGAAGCGCTGCGCGGGGATTCCCCGAGGGTTCCGCTCCGGTCAGTGCGCGGCCCGTCTGTCGGGGGCGGGGCCGTGCACGCGCGAGCGCCTTTCTTTCCCTGGGTGGGAGCGCGCCGGTCTCGACATCTGATGTGCCAGCATCCGATGATGATCATGATGGTGGTGGTTGTGGTGGTGGTGAGGATGATGATGATGATGATGATGATGATGATGATGATGCTGATGATGTTGATGATGTCTGCGGTGCTGACGGTGAAAACCATGATGATGATGATGATGATGATGATGATGATGATGGCGATGATGATGATGATGATGATGATGACGATGATGATGATGATGACGATGATGGAGACTATGCTGGTGATGATGGTGATGATGACGATGCTGATGACGACGATGATGCCGATGGTGCTGATGATGCTGCTGATGATGATGATGATGAGTCTGCTGATGATGGCTGTGGTGCTGGCGATGCTGACCATGACTATGATGCTGCTGTTGCTGCTGCTGATGGTGACGATGATGATGATGATGATGATGATGATGATGATGATGATGTTCATTATGATGATAGTGCTGAGGATGATGATGCTGCTGATGATGATTCTGATGATGATTGTGGTGCTGACAATAATCACACTGATGCTGCTGATGATGGCATTGATGATGATGACGGTGATGATCAAGCTGCTGATGACGGTAACGATGATGATGCTGATGATGATGACGCTGATGCTGGTGCTGCTGCTGATGATGGCGATGACCATGGTGATGGTGGTCATGATGATGATAATGGTGATGATGATGGTGATGATAGTGATGATTATGCTGATGATGATGGTGATGGTGCTGCTGCTGCTGATGATGATTATGATGATGATGGTAATGATGATGGTGATGATGATGATGGTGGTGATGATGATGATGATGATGATGATAATGCTGATGATAATGATGATGATGATGATGATGATGATGATGATGATGATGATGATGATGATGATGATGATGATGATTTCAGCAGCTGGGAGGGGGCACGGTCCGCAGCAGAAGACAGCACTAAGCAGCGCTGGAGACATCCCATTGGATGTCGGTGTAAGGGTCGTCGGAGCAGGTCGTGCGCGCTTCAAGGAGCGCCTGCTGAATTCGGCATGTGGGCTAGGACTCGCTGCCAGCTTTGCGCAGCGGGACGGCGATAGGGGGGCAAGGGGAGCGACGGGGGGCAAGGCGACGGGGGGGGGGCGAGGGGAGCGGGCAGGCGCCGGGTACAACAGAAGGAGAGGAGCGAGAGAAGTGACCATGAATGGTGCAACCGCCAGGGGCAGGGCAAGCGTCACGCCGCTGGGCCTGCGATCCACGATGCGTTGGCCTGAATTTCGGCAGGCGACGCGGCGATGCGGGCGTGGCCTCCAGACAGGGCCAGCAATCAGGGGTGCCACCAGCCGTCTGCGTGCAGGAGGGTGTCAACGAGGATCACGGCGCGCCCGAAGCTAGCGCCGACGGGCAGCCCTTGCGCTCGAAGAGCCTTGCGCGGCACGTCATCGGGCGAGGATGCGGAAACCGCTGTTGGTGATGATGATGCTGCTGCTGCTGATGCTGATTATGACGATGATTATCATGATGATGATGATGATGCTGATGATGATGATGATGCTGCTGATGATGATGATGATGCTGATGATGCTTATGATGCTTATGATGATGCTGATGATGATGATGATGGTGCTGATGATAATTATGATGATGCTGGTGATGGTGATGGTGA